TTATTTATTTAATTATTAACTGAAAGCTGGATGCAATGGTATGTCTGTAGCTCCAGCTCCTCAGAAGGCTGAGGCAACAGGATCACTTGAGTCCAGTTCAGCCTGGGTAACAACACAGCAAAGTCACAACTCAAAAATAAATTTATATATACAAAATTAAAATCGTTAACTGGGCTAGGGGGTATAGCTCAGTGGAATAGCAGCTGGCTACCCTCTGTGGGGCTCTGGGTTCAAACTGCAGCACCAAAAATAAAAAATAAAAACACATTAACTCATCAAAAAGAAAAATAGAACAAAACACCATATCATAAACATACAAAAAATCTACACCACAAACTATTTTATGGAAGTACAATCTGGAATGTATCTTTATGTCCCTGATCTGCATTCTAGTAACATTAAAGTCATTTATCTTTAAAAGAGATGGTGGCAGACAAGGATTTCTTAGAAAGCAGAGACACTTACAGATTCTACCAAGCACTCAGTGCAGGAAAACATGGCACCCACAATGGCAAAATTTTTGGCATAGGACATTCCTCTCTGCCCCATATCTTTAAGAACTTCTTTTGCAGTCGGCGTACGGTAAGGATCCTTAGGGTCAAAGCCCACGTTGGTATCAATACCAGCAGTGAACACCCCAAAAGCACCTCCCAAAACAAATCCTAAAAGCAAACAGAGATAACATTTCTTCATGTTTTCTGAATTACAAGTATGCCAGATCATACAAGTATGATTGGATCATACTTGAAGACAAACTTTTGGGTGGCCCCAAGTGAGGAGGTCACCCCTTTCACCACTCAATGCTCTTAATTGCCCACACATTACAAAATTTTGGCCCGGCTTAGTGGTGTAAGCCTACAACCCCAGCACTGGGAGGCTAAGGCAGGAAGCTCACCAAGAGCTCAAGGCTAGAGTAAACTACATAGCAAGACCTGTCTCAAGAAAAGGGGGCAGGGGCTGGAGAGATGGCTCAGTGGTCTAAAGCACCTACTTGAAACAAGCTTGGCAAAGCACAGGGACCGCGGTTCGATCCCCCAGCGCCACATGCCAGCCAGCCCCGCCCCCTGGTGGGCTGAGCTGGCCACACACACACACAATAAATAAATGTAATAAATAAATAATTAAAAAAAAAAAAAAAAAGAAAAGGGGGCAGGGTCTATCCTTCCTGCCTCCTCTAGGCTTTTTCCCTTCATTTCTTGACATTCTTCATGGTTCAGGCTGCAACCCTATGTTCTCTCCACACTTTCATATGTAAACCAGCCACCCTCAAATTCAGTTACCAACTTTGCAAATCGCTCCCTTGGTCATGGTGTCATTCATAAGTCACTCAGTTATGTGTCAGGCACTTGGATGCTTTATAGTCACTGCCTCATTTATTCTTCACAGTGATCCTGTGAGCCTGTAATCCCAGTACTCTGGGAGGCTGAGGCAAAGGGTCTGAAGTTTAAATGCAGTTGGGCAATTTATTAACTTGGTGAGACTCTGACTCAAAAAAAAATTTTTTTTTTATTTTAGAAATGAAGAATGTAGCTCTGTACAAAGACCCTAGGTTCAGCGGGGTGTGGTGGTTCATGCCTTTAATCCCAGCATTTAGGAGGCTGAGGCAGGAGGATCATGAGACCAGCCTGGACTACAAAGTGAGTTCAAGGCCAGCCTGAACTACATAGTAGGGAGACCCTGTCTCAAAAACAAACAAAAAACCTCGGTTCAATTCCCAGTACTGCAAAAAAATAAAAAATAAAAAGTAAAACACATAGATACCAAATAGCAAATCCCACACTGCTGTCCACATACAAGATTCCTGAGCTGCTGAATGGTCAACATCCATATGGCAGGTACAAAATGATTGTCTTTGTTCATTTGTTCACTTCTTTCTGCAAGTTGTTACTAAGCAACTGTCAGGTCCCAGGCTATGGGAATACCAATCAAACAAACAAAAGCCCCTCCTTCTCATGCTGGAAAGGGCAGAAAATGGAGGTCCTCTCATCCCCTCGAAGTCCAGGACAATTCCATGAAACTGTGGACACCTCTCAGCCCAGACTTTCCTGCTTCTGCTTCCTTCTTTCCAGTCACTCAAGTAGGTCACTTCTCAAAATCTGCACTTTGGGGCTGAGGAGATAGCTCGGCGGCCTAAGTGGCTGCCTGACAAGAAGAACCCCGTTTTGATTCCTGGTACTGCATACCGAGCCACCCTGTGTCATTCGGGCCACCAAAACCCGTGGTAGTGCACACCTGTAATCCCAGTGCTGGGGAGGGTGAGACAGGAGGACCACTAGAGTCCGAGCTCCATAGCAAGGCCCTGTACCAAATAAATAAATAATAGATTTTTTTTAAAAACAAACTTTCTAAAATCTACACTTTTGTTAGTTGTTTCTTGCATGCCTTTTATTTTCAATGAAATTTAAACTGCTCTACAAATGCGGTCACTTGTTGAAGGTATGCCGTAAGCTCTTAAACCTTCAAAAGGTTAAGATGGTATTTCATACAAAGCCCTTGCACACTAAGGTCTAGTCACACTGGGTCTTGGGTGTTTTTTCCCAAAACTCTAAGCAGTTCCTGTATTTGCATTTGCAGTTCTCTAGGTCTACAGCACTCTTGCAAGGCTTCTACTCAACATTCTTCTCTCATACTGTAAAATGCTGAACTCATGAGAACGCGGTTCTGTTCTGTTCCATCCCGCATTCCCACCTCCTGGCACGGGCCTGCTGTTAGCAACAACCTGCTGAATGAGTAAGTGACTGAACAAATCAATCAGTGAAATCCACCCCTTCACCCGCAGGCCCAGGCCGTAGTACTGACTCTCCGATCCATCTTCGAAAGCTAACCTCGGGGACTGGAGAGGCGTCGCCGAGTTCACGGAGCCAGGCGCGGTGCAGTCAAGGTCGAAGCCTACAGATCCCTCACCCTCTAGGCGCGCGGTCTTCTTGGCGGTGAACCCCAAGCTGAGAACTCAGCCTCCCCAAGGCCCCTAAAGCCTCGCCTCACCTCCCACGCAGGCCAGCGCTGCCTTGAAGGCGCAGCTTTCCATCGCCTTCTCGATCATCTTCTGTTCTTCACTCTTGGCCGGACTCGGTATCCCGCCCAGGCTGCCAGGCTCCAGGAGCCGGGGCTGGCGCTTGTCGCCCACCAGGTATTGCAGAAGAAGGCTGTACTGCAGATGGGCTTCTGTGGAACTCGCCCCCTCGGGCGCGGAGCCCCCGGGGGTGGGGGAAGCCGCGGCCGCCATAACTATCCGAGAAGCCCAGGAAGCCTTCGCGCTGTTTCCCACAGCAGATTCCACAAACTTCCTGTCGTTGGTCCTGAGAAGCCAGCCACCGTATCGCAACGGCAGATTCGCCACAACGCGGAAGAAGCGGAAGCAAAAGTCAGTTTTTGCTCACCGGCGAGTTATCATGTGTCTAAAAAGCCTCCTGTGAATGCTGAATCAGGCTTATGAAGCATGCCCACGTTCCCCACAAACAAACAATACTCAGATTCACTAAAAACCTCCCTCGTTTTGAGGCTGCGGCGCGGTGCTTGCCGGGATTTGTAGTTCTAACTGGAACATCTAACTACATTTCCCAGGAAGCTGTACGTGAGCTCCCGCTGGGCGGCGGCATCTGAAGCCCTTTGGTACTCTTGTGAGGCGAGCGAGAATTTCGCCAGCCAGCTGGCAGGTTATGGATGTGGTTTACCCCTTCCTTCCCCCCAGATCCCTGGAGGGCTCCCACTTTTCCTTTTTTTTTTTTTTTTTTGAGACCGGGATCTCACTATGTTGACCAGGCTGATCTCGGAGCTCGTGGATTCTCCCGCCTCAGCCTACCGGCGTGGGCCACCACACCGGCTTAACTTGAATATGCTTGAAGGCGTTGTGAGGTGGAAATGGTGGTAGGTGCTTTGTAAGATAAACTTGGAAGCATGATATAAATGTGTAACATAAATATTTTTGCTCAGTAATTAAGCTTTTAAGAAGATGGCCCCAACAGATGAGGGAGGCTAGCCAAGCGTCAGAAGTATCAAGAACTGTGACTAGGAAGTGGAGGATCCCGGGGTCCAAATGAGGGAAGCCAGGCTATGCAGTACTCGCTTTAGCCAGTTGGTGTCAATGGGCCGGTGGTGTGAACTGTTATTACCGTAAGAAGCCTAATTTATGTTAGGTTGAACCCGTTCAAGTTTTACACCTGAAAAATTGAATACCTAAAGACAAAAACAGAGAGACTACTGAATATGAACGGTGAGGGGGGAGATTGCTGTAGTTCTTATGGTATTAAAATAGATTTCCCACCATGGTGTTGATTCAGACTAGCATTTTATTTTATTTTTTACTTTGCAGTTCAGGGCTTGGAAGACGGGGCCTTTTGCATGCTTGGCAAGCGTTCTACAACTGAGGTACATCCTTAGCCCTAGAATAACAATTTATTTGGGTATCTCAGGTAAGAAGAACAATCATTGCTGAGTGCCAAAGACCAAAGAAAGCAGCAGGTGTAGGGTCTCCAGTCTTAGAGTCTTGGGGTTTTATAAGTAGAAATTGATGAATGGTAGCCACCAGGTTTGGAATAGGCTTTTGTATGTACAACTCAGAGGCACTGTAATTATTCCTCCCATCTCCACTATCAAGTTCATGTACAGATTGCTGGGCATGGGGTACATGCCTGTAATCCCAGCAATCTGGAAGACTGAGGCAAGAGGATTACAAGTCTGAGCTCAGCCTGGACAACTTGGTGAACCCTCAGGGAGATCCTGTCTCAAAAAATGAAAGGATAGGGTCTTTCATTTGGCGCAGTAGAATAAACGGTTGCCTGGCAAGTGCAAGGGCCTGGGTTCAATCCCCATTTCCACCAAAAACAATGAAAGGATGTAGCTCATAGTGAAGGCCTGGGGTTCAATTCTCAGTGCTGAAAAAAAAAAAGTCATTAATGAGCATAAGCTACTCACATTTATGGAGGGCTGTCTTGGCCTGGTGGGGGCTTGGGTGGGCACTTGCTGGCTTGATACAGGCCTAGTCCACCATCATTGTGCATTGGTTTTGCCCAGCGCTTAGTGAGCTTCAGAAGCACCTGCAGAGATAGGCTCTGACTGTTGGGCATGGAGTTTCTAATGAAGACATGGAGTGGGCATAAAAAGGTCCATTTCTAAGATGATGTTACTGGTCAGAGGCCACATTTTGGGGACTATTGATCCATATCATTGACCACGATTCTTAGCGGGAGTCGAGACACACTACTCAGTGCCCCACTGAAATGGAACATAACCAATTCTAGAATATATCTCAAGGCCAGGAGCCCTTGGGAGTGTGGCAGAAATCCAGAGGAGAGAGAGGTAGCACGCTGCCAGTTGCATGTGTCCTGAAAGCAAGTTTGGCTTGCTCGAAGGGCTGGCCTGCACAGGTTTGGGCCAATATATTGTGGGAAAAAGTCACTGATTTCTCTGGCAGTATTTGTGAGCGGAATTGAGCAGCTCAGCTTGGCGAAGTCCAGCAGTAACACCCAGGAGCACAGGTGGCCATAACCTGAACCTGGAGGAACAGTTATACAGCAACATACTCAGGCCTCCAGATTAGAGTCCCAAGCACACGGAGGAGAGCAGGATTGAGAGACAGGCTGGAGGGCACATCCTATGGCTTTTATTGTCCACTCACAGGCAGAAGCTGTTATGGGGCTACCGGGTAGAGATGGTCCTGAATTAGAACCTAACTTTACCCCTCAAACCTGTTCCTTTATTTCCCATCTAAGTGAATGGTGGCTCCATACACCCAAAAGGGTTCACAGACTTCTTGTTTCTGTATCATCCATGAACTTTCTAAGTAACTTTCAACCTGACCCCTTCCTTTTTAGATGTTATTTCCATTGCAGTTGTGTAAAGCCTCATTATTTCTCAATTTTAACTTAAACCCAGAGCCTTTGCCCTGCCCCTTTTTTATTTTATTATTTTTATTTTTCATATTTTCCTTAGACCTGAGGAGCATCATTAAGCTATTTATTTGGGCTCACCTCTACTTATTTATGTGAGCATTCTCAATTTTTTAAATGTATTTAGTATAGTGTCTCACTACACAGATCAGACTTGTAGTGATCCTCCTATTTTCCGCCTCCCAAGCATTGGGATTACAGGCGTGCCACCACACCCAATCTCAGCGTCATCTCAGTGCACCCCAGACTTGGGACTGGCATGGCACTCCGTAGATTGAACCCCAGTTGCTATGCCTGCCTAAGCAGGCACTTTAGTCCGCTGAGCTATCTGGCCAACCCCCTTTTTTTTTTTTTTTTTTTTTTTTTTTGGCCGAACCGAGGATTCAGACCTTATTTTTATTTTTGAGACAAAGTCTCATTAAGTTATAAATTTCCCAGGCTGTCCTCAAATTTGTGATCCTTCTGCCTCAGCCTCTTGAGTGTCACACTTATAAGTATGCACCACCACACCAAGTTCTAGAATCTAAATTGCTCTTGCTACCTCTCTTGCTGTTCTCCAAACCATCCACAGAACTGTCTTTCTACACAAAAACATGTTCACTTAATTCTGTAACTGTGGCATAGGAGGAGGTAAGATATTAGGGATTACAAGTTAACTGAGGACTAAAAGGCAGTCAAGGCCAAGTATCCTCCCGTCATTCAAAAGTACAAATATTTGGACTGTACAGCAGATGTCCAGCTGCATGCATGGGGAGAGACTTTGGAGAAGGCATTCGTGTGCAATGGTTATGTGTGGTTTCATGACGGGACTGTGGAGCCCCTCCAAATAATAGGAGAAACCCAATGAGATGGGGTTTATTTCACTTTTTGAATGAATATAAGTTTACTGCTGATGAATTTTTCATAATCTCAGAAGTGAAAGTATTTAGTATTAGAAAATATTTAGAGGGTTGGGGAGATAGCTCAGTAGAATAAGCGCTTGCCTGGCAAGCACAGGGTCCTGAGTTCAATTCCCAGTACCTCAAAAAAAAAGGGAACAATAAAGTGTTTTGAAAATAAAGGAAAACATTTAGTATTGATCAGAGAAATTTTATATTACATTAAATTGGATGGGGAGAAGAGTTTTTACTTTCTAAGCATCCTCAGGGAACAAAAGTCAAAGCAATAACATATTCAGCATTGCAGGCTTATAATGAAGAGAAGCCAAAGGTTTTTGTCATCACTGACATTTAATACACACAAGTGGAAAGTCAGCTGGGTGTGGTGGCATGTGCCTGTAATCTCAGCTGTTCTGGAGGCTAAGGAAAGAGGATTGAAAGTTCAAGGCCAGCCTCTGCAACTTGGTAAATTCTTGTCTCAAAAAGAAAAAAATAATAAGAGGGCCCCAATAATAGAGCACCCCAAGGTTCCATCTACAGTACTGGGGAAGAAAAAAGGAAATAGAGGGCTAGGGAAATAGCTCAGTGGTCTAAGCACCTGCCTGGAAAGTGTAAGGACTTGGGTTTGATCCCTGGTATCTCACACCATGTCAGTCACCAAAACCAAGCATGGTAGCGCATGCCTGTAATCCCAGTGCTGGGAGGCTGAGACAGTAGCACTACAAGTCTGAGGTGTGTAGTGAGACCCTGCACCAAATAATAAATAAATAAAAAGACTGAAAGAAAGCAGTCGCAGAACAAATAGCCTTGGTCTGTGTACTCTACGTATTCACACTTTAAAGAATTCTTTTTTTTTTTTTTTTTTTTTTGTGGTACTGGGGATTGAACTCAGAGCCTTGCGCTTGCCAGGCAGGCGCTTATTCTACTAAGCCATCTCCCCAGCCCCAATTCTTCAATTCTTAAGGGGCAATTATGGTCGCTCCTTTCATTCTCTGCTTTGGCAGAAGGTGCCTCAAGCCCTTCCAATGGGATGCAAGCCTTCTGGTTTGGTCCCAGGAGGGATTGCTGGTGTAAGCAGCAGATAGGATGGAATGAAGTTTGGAGGGAAAAAAAAGAATTTGAAAAAACATTTCTACACATGGGGGTGGTAAAAAAACCCACCTCTCACTTCCCTGTTCTGAATTCTTCTCTGTGCCAGGAAGAAATCTAAACTCCATGTGTTGCTTTTACAACTTGTGCCCAGGAAGACACACAAGCAATAGTCCAAACTTAATTTTTACTGGAACATTTCCACTCCCCGTTATCTGCTTTTGATATTCTTCTTTGGATCAGGAAGTGATGAATTGGAATCATTCTGTACCTCATGTTCTTTAGTGTTTGAGAGCTGAATTTGGACTTTTGACTCTATCATTTCTCTCCAGATATCATTCTTTGATTTGGGCTCTTAATCAAGTTGAAAATGTTGGACAATTTTGTCCCGTTATGTTTCAGGTCTTTGTGACTCTGACCTGTGATAACCATGGAGAAAACAGCAGTTACCTGTGCTACTTCCAGTCCAAGTCCTTAGAGTCTAGCTTGTTTCTGGTGGGTAGCCTATTATTATGGATCAGTTTTCCCCCACACCATATTGTTTAGAAGTTTTATTTATTCTCGCATACCCACAATCCAGATTTGCTTACTATCTCTTGTGCTATTGCTTT